GGGGTTTGTTTGGTTTGGTTTCTTGAATTTGGACTCCACACAAAATGAAACAGTATGCAAATGTATAAAATTACAGTGGTATCAAAATAAGTTTTAGAACTTGGTCAGTTTTCTAATACTGTCTTGAAGGAATCATTCTCTTTCTTACTCCTACTCTTGGAAGCAATTTTAAATGAGAATTGTGGGGATAGAGGTATGTTTGCCCCTAGCTACTGTGATTTTTATTTTTTTCTTAGCTTTCTCTTTGCCTGAATGTGTTTTATTCAGAGGCATTGCTGTTCTCAGTTTTGAGAGTTTGGCTATTTAACATCAGGAGAGTATCTAATTTCTTATTCCTGTATATCTGAAGAACCCATGCAGGAGGTCAAATTAGTTAATTAAAAACGATTACTTCTTTGCTGATCTGAAGTATACTTATTGCAAGAGCATGCAGATACAGTCTAAAATAGATCTTAGTGATGAATCTCAGCTTGTTCCAGACTGTGGGATTCCAGGAAAATGCTAACACTGCATATAGACACTGGGAAACCTGGTGGCCCTCTGGGGAATTTCAGATTGGTTTTTACCAGCCTCCTAACAGATGCTGCTCAAATATGTTGGACCAAATCTGGAGTGTCTAAAGTTAGACTAAGTACAGATTTAGGAGTCATACTAAATGAAGAAATCGTGACGTATGTTACTGTCTATCTTCAGCTCCCATTTAACTTAGTGGGATTTGCGTTTGATCAACAGCCTAAAAGGTCAGACATCTTTTAAATAGAAACACAATCTCAGTTTCAAACACCAGGAACCTGTAGTCTAGGCTTTTGAGTCTTGCAATATGTGGATATTACCTAAAGTTGATTGAGGAAGAGAGAGAGCAGAGAGCATGGCAAAAACAGTTATCTGCTTGAGTTTGGACTGGTGTTCCAACCAGATGTAGTAGAGGGCAGAGAGAGGAGAAATCATATTTTGCTATTTGTGTTTCTCACAGATTAATTAAAAAAAAAATAATAATTTGTTGCTTTTTATTTCCTTAGATGATTTTACTAGAATGTATAGCCTAGTCATGGCCCAAGAAAACAAATTTCAAATATAATATAAATGATATGTAAGAAAAGAAATGCATAGTTTTGAGAAAATTCTTTGTCCTCATCAACTGAACTCTTCTGGCACATCTGCATAACATCTCTCAAATTCTTTTGACTTCTGAGGTCAGTTTTTATTTTGTCAGTAGATTGCAACATTTAAGAAGTAACTTTAAGGCTGCTGCTTCTGAGTATATACCACAGTTAAAACTACAGAATATATACAGCAGAATAAGAGAGCAGTTGTATTTTGGCATGTGTGCACATTAAATATAAACATGCCATCTTGTAATGCTTTAGTTGGACATTGCAGCTTATCAGGCCTTGATGCATTTTACTTAGCTGAAGTCTCAGGGGTGTTCTCATATGTATGGGACTATTATATGATCTGCAAATATACTGATATGCAATATAATTAAAATTCACTTTTTGTTCTATTTTTGATAGCCATAGGATTATGTGTAGATAGACAAGTTGTGCCAATTTTAATCTAATGCTCAACTTTTCAAATATATACTTTGTGAAATGAGACTTGGTAAATTCACACCAAGCTGGGAGCAATCTGAGCTGTCAGTGACGCACTCTCACAATACCAGCAGCAAACTGCACACGGGGCTGCAGCAGCAAATGAAGAGACACCCATCCACTCATTGCTTCTGTGACTGCTTTGAGGTGGTGTTCAGCAAGGGGAAGAGAAGCTTCAAGAGAAATCTGCAGGCTCTTTCAACCTAAAGAGAGAGTCAGAGTCACTTTTCCCAGAGCTGCACAGCAAACAGGGAAGGGGTAATGTCACAATAGTATCATCCAGTTCATTTCATAAGAGACCATTCTTCATTGTGAGTGTGGGGTTTGAGCTCTGCAACTGGCTGCCCAGAAGTTGTGGGCTCTTCTTTCAAGACTTGCAAAGCTTGCTTTGACAAGGCCCTGAGCAACCTCATTGAACTTAAAAATTATTTCTGTGCTAAGTGTGTGTTAGGACTAGATGTCTTCTGCAGATATCTTCCAACCCTTTTTTTTTCTCTTCTCATTCTGTATCAAGGAAGATTTAAGTTTTATGTAGAACATTACTCACTTCTTAATGGCGAAATGTAAACTAGTTGGATTGCATCTAGATTTCCTAAACTCTTCCATCTGAAATGCCTTTAGAATTCTTGATTTAATGATTTGTTTGAATATTCATCTTAATATTTTTCATGTTACTGATTCTGTACAGACTTCATTTTAATCTGTTTAGTTTGTTTTTGAAAAACATGGTCAGGAATGAACCTCATAGTTGACCCAATGAGCCTTGATGGACTTGAAGGTTTGTGTAGCTCTTGATGCTTGTCTGCTAAGGTGGCTGTGCTACTGCAGGTCAGTTTAGTAGACAGGCTGAATCTGCAACATGATCTTCCTTTTAGCTAGAAATACTTGCCATAGGTCAGCTTTGCTGATGTAACTGTCTTTGAATTTGGCTCTATAGAATAATTCTGTCTTGACTTGGTGCTGTTGTCTTTGTAAGGTCTGTTGGTGTTAATCATCAGATTAAACTGTTTCCCCAAAGTACTTAACCTTCATAAAATGAAATTTTATTTGAGATAGGCTGTTTCTGCTGCATGTACTGTAGCTCCTTTTGTATAAGAAGAATTTCTTTTTAAAAGAGAAAAATGTATTTAAAGTCTAGCAATGAATTTCTAGTTCCTTTATGTTTTACTGTGCAAACTTCTGCTATAACACTGAATAACTGTATGGTACTTGAGAAGTTTTGTTCTCAGAAAAAATGCAGAGCTTTTGCAGAAATCAGTGGTATAGAACCCAAAGCCAGCTGCAGCTCCCAGCTTTCCCTACTCATTGTTTATTCTCTTAAGAGAAATCATTTGACTTTGCGTTTGCATTAGTGACAGATTGAGCTGCCAATGTAAACATTGTAGGATTGAGTATTTTGAAAGTTGTGTGTACTTTTGTGAAGGAACTAAACCCACAAGTGTCCGGAAGCAATGTAATGTTGCGTGTGTTTGAATAATATTTTGCAATGTTCATGAGAAAGGGAAGTAAGTATTTAGAACAGTATTGGTGAAATGGTAACAGTTTATATTTCCTAATTTTCGTTTACTGAAAATAATTCTTGACACATGGAGATTTTACTCAAGTTTCCATGCAAAGTTGATCCTGGAAGTAGGAGAGACACATGTGTTACTGTACAGCCAAAATATGCCATTATTTATAGTTGGGTAATCTTTCAATTTCCTTTTGACAAAACAGTTGGGTTAGAGTGAAAATGTTTGTTTTAAATCTCAGAGTTTGGGGTCTATTTCTGTAATGCTAGACATCTTCAGTTTTTAAAAGAAATATTAAATAATTCTCAGTTTCTTGCAGCTAATGTATGTTTATCAGAAGTGGAACCCATAAAATCTAGAATTTGCAACTGTGATGTTCACCACCATTCTTTAAGATGCTTTTTCTTTCTTAGTCCTCACTGTCAAATTATCATTTTCTTTGTTAATAGTGTGGGGATTATGACACATGTTGAGCATAGGTCCGTCCTGGGAGGATGCTAAGCTTTCTTAAAAAGGGAGGGATGAACCACTGTTTACACAGCAAGAGCAGTTTGGATTAGATGAATCTGCACATTTAACCTGGAGAAATAAATGTCTAATAAAATGTAGTACTTGTGGCTGCACTGCTAAAAGTTGGTTGTTTTTCCTCTTTATTTATCTTTTTCCTGCAGACTATTTGGTCAGTTCAGTTCTCCTGTAACTTTAATTAGCAATAGTTATGGACAGAAAAGTAGGAAAGCAAGTAAAATAAGTAATTTTTTAAAAAACAGAACCAGAAAGTATTTTTATTTTGTATAAATATACTTGAAAATATCACTGAAAACTTTATGCATATTGGTACAGATCTTGCTCTTGTACAGAGAAAAGTAGAAAATTCCATTCCCTACTGCTTACATGTTGGGTTTGGAAACTGCTTACATGTTTGTTTCTTCTTTTCTGTAAAGGTCTAAACACATCAGTTAACACTGGCATGATTATGTAATGTGGAACACACAGTGCTTAACTGATTCAGGTTTTTAAAAATATTCTGCTAATTTATATACTGAAGAAATGGTTCTAATACTTGATATCGATCAAAATTTTCTTGTTAAAAAGTTGTGCATAACAAACTTTAAAGAAAAATATATATTGATTATGTATTTGTTTTCTAGATCTTGGCAATAATGTTTAACTTGACTACATTTAATAAAGACTAAATGGGCAAATTTAATATTGATGGTTTTGTTTGTTTAAGAAACTTGATCTGTTTGATTTGTTTAAGAAACTAATTTGTGTAATTTGGTTTTGCATAAACACGCTGAAAATATGTTAAAAAAACTTTCAAAGGATCACTCTTGCATGGTTATGGATGGCTTTGAAATGGGCAAACTGTGTTGTATTCTAACTGAAGAACGTATTTTGTACTATTTGATATGGAAGGATAGTGCCAGAGGTGAAGGATAGTGAGCAGAGAGGAGTCAGATACAGATGATAAAAAGCAGGTTTGAATTTTCTCTTAATTATTGCATTAGAAGTATTTAACTGTCATTCCAACAGAATGATAAATTTATCTGGAGCACAGTAATTCAGCATTGCAGCTGACAATATTGGTTAAAGATTTGTCATTTTTAAAAGTGGTTTTGAATTAGAAGCTTCAGTGCAGGTACTTTGAAACTGTAACTTATGATTTCTTCAATCCTTTTCTTCATTTAATTTATTAAAACATTACTTGTTGGTTCAGAAGGTTTAACATTATGTTCTTCATTGTATCTTAAAAATTTGACCAGACCATTTTGTTAATTTCTTGGGAATTTTGTATTCATTTAGGAAGTGTTTCATTTCACATTTGTTCCAAAGTTAGATTTCTGGTTTTGTCTGAGGCTACTACATGATTAAAACAGCTGCTATTCCTTCACAGGCCTATGAAGAGTACACCAGCAAGCTTGATGCTCTACAGCAGAGAGAACAGCAATTACTGGAATCCATGGGGAATGGAACTGATTTCTCTGTCTCCAGTTCAGCTTCAACAGACACAGTTGCATCATCTTCTTCCTCAAGCCTCTCTGTAGCACCTTCATCCCTTTCAGTTTATCAAAACCCTGCTGATATGTCACGGAATAACCCTAAGTCTCCACAGAAACCTATTGTTAGAGTCTTCCTGCCCAACAAGCAAAGGACCGTGGTGAGTCAGTTTCTATTCACATACTTGTAACCTCAGTATTTCCTGTATCTCTCTCCTTCTGTATGCAAAAGTTAATTTAAGAGCTGAAATATACCTGGGTGGAGGTCAGAAGTGTCATGATCACAGTGCTCTGCCACACTCAGTTGTTTTGATCTGTTGAATGTTTTTGACAGGATTAACTCAGAAAAGTCCATTATAGCATAATATAGGATACAGAACTTTTGGGAGTTTTGTAACTATGAATATACCTCAAGAAATATTTTCTCAAATCAGTTTTATTGGATAAATAGTAATTTACCATTTTACAATAGTTAGAAAGGGACAATAAGCTCTATTTCTTGTTTTATACAGAACTCTTGATTAGTTTAACAGGGCAAGATGGAGGAAGTATTTTCTATGTTGTTAGAGTTACTAAAAGCATTGAATGCTTTAGAGCAAGAACCAACCTTTTGCAGCTTAGAAGGGCTATGCATAATTGCTTGGGGATTTTTTATTTTATTTTTTCCTCCCCGCTCACCATGGTGAGTGTTTATGTGGAGACCATGATGATGCTTTCAGGTCTTGTGTAGAGAACTGGTATGGGGAGGGACATAGTTGCAGTTAGAGAGATCAAGAAGTGTTGCCCACAAACTGCTTGAAACTGGGGGTTTATCGGTTTTGACAATGTTGCAGTGGTTCCTGATGTTATGGAAGAGTAGTTCACTTTTTGCTGCTAGAGAAGGGATTTTTTTTATCCATTAAGAGCTGCCAGCTGAAGAGCCTTGATATGTCCATTAGAACAAAACACTCCAAACTGTGATACATGAAATTATTGACAAGCCATAGTCTAGGTTCTGTTTTGCAAGGTGGTACATAATCCAAATACAGCAGGGGAGCAGCGTTTCCAGAGAAGATGGGAAGTGAATGGACAAGAATTGTCCATGTCAAACCAGGACATTTTGCAACAGTCAGTCAGGTGTCAGATGTCTCTGGATTGTTACTGTCTGTTGAATTTGAGTTGCTAGTAAAAAGAAGAAAACATCAACTGAGTAGTTCTGGGTGTTGGACCATGTCCTCACCCCTTCCCTACCACTTTCCTTTCATCCTTCCCCCATCTCACTGAGCAAAACACTTATAAGTGGGGACAACATTGGAGGGCAGTTTTCACCTGCATTTTTTTTTTTTTTTTTTGCTATTGCTTAATTGTTCAAGATATTGCTGAAGATGGAAGGTAATATTTGGGTTTTGACTCAGAGAGTGGGAGTTTAATGTAGCCTGTGACCACTGTGCACAATCTACAGTGTAAAGCCAGGTGATTCTGTTGTCTGCCTGTTGAGGAAAGTCTAAGCACACAGTACTACCCACAGAGTGAAATCTGGAGAGAAGGTCCTGGATTTTGGAGGCTACTGTTTTGTCACACCCTGTCTGGCTATTTGCAGTCCCTGTCATGGGGCTCGTAAGTTGGGTTTTGTTTCTTTCCTGTAAAGGATCACAGCATATCACTTCCTGCACTGTTCTGTGTATTACCTATTTTGTCTCTTCTATGTGTTCTCCTGTCCTCTAACCCACATAGTGTAATTCACTCTTATTCTTTCCCCCTCATCTGCAATACTCTTGTTCTGCTTCTTTGTCTCTCCCTTTTTACCTCCTCCTCGATCCTGTTTTATTTTTCACAGCACTGGATGCTCTTTCTGGGCTATGGAAGACAAACGTGGTTTAACTTGGGTTCAGTCAGGGAGAGGCTCTCGGTTCTGTCCCCAGCTTTCACTATTTGAACACTAGTTGCCTTACAGGTCCAACTTTGCAGCTAGTTTCCAGCTTGCTTAGGTTCTTTTTATTTCACTTTGACAAACAGCTTGGATCAAGTTGCATAACTAAGTTGAACTTCTTTTTCTTATTTTCTTTTTGTATACTAATAACGTATCTCTGGTTTAGAGCTGAGAAATTGTGCTTATAGAAGCTCTTGAGTGTGGTGGTTATTGGCCTTGGGGCTGAAGGTAATTTCTCTGAAACTTGAACCACCGATCATTTTATTGAGAAAATCAGGAATTTCTTCTATGGCTAATGTAATTACTTTATTTTCAGTATTTATTAATCTTGCTGTCTGTTGGAAGGTAAGGAAATGCCAGGAGCAGCCACAATCCAGAAGGAACTGCAGCAGCTTACTGAATCCTGGGGTGCATCAAGCACAACATCAGTAATTAGTTGGGAGAGGTGATTCTCGTCCCCTACTCAAGTGTGGCCTCACCTTGAGCACTGTGTGCAGTTTTGGGTGCCACAATATAAGACTGTGTGATTCACAGTGCAGTTTTAATGGCAAACAGTCAGATGAAGGGTTACTAACCTAAAAAAGCATCCAGTATTTTTCAGTGAACACTGAGACTGCTTCCTTCATTCTCTCTTCTTCATTGAGAAGTGTTGCACACATTTGTCTTCCTTCATAGCCTTTGGCTTTTAAAGCAGACTGGTTTTGTCTCACTTGTGCCCATTAACTGAGCCATTTGCTTATGTAGCTGGGATGGTAGTTCAGGATGCTCAAGTATACAGGCTGGCTTGTGATGGGTTGTAGCAGGAAGGAGCTTCTTTGTAAAAATATGTGGTACCTGCCATTAGAGCCTTCCCACTGCCCTAGCTGCCATTCCTTATGGCTTTTACAGCAAGGCTGATGTGTTCTACAGTCAAGCAGGTGGCTGGGAGAGATACTGTTCAAGTTGCAGTGTTGCAGCAATCTACTCCCCACCTCAACCTAACTTGCTTTCAATTAATATCTACTTCTGAAAGAAAATCTTGTTAATATCACTAATAATTTCAGTCTCTGTTTCCAATTGGTTTCAGGAGGGGAGAATTGTCAGATCCTAAGGAGTCTATTTTTGTCTGGGAATGCTATGACATTTCTTCAACAGACTGAGACTGGAATTAAGTTGGTAATGGAGAGCCAACCTCATTATTTTCTTTGATCACTCTGATGCAGCCTCAAGTACTACAACAGCCTTCTGCTATTTGTTTGGAACTGCTAAAAATGCAGGAAATGGGGGGGAGTTGCTTGCATATCTTACATTTTTGACTAGCAACTGCCTTGTTGGGAGTTCTCTGTGTTATTGTTTGTGTAGGATCAAGCAAATACATCTGTTGGAGCTGACTCCAATTCAAAATATAATTTAAGAAAACTGGTAGAGTACAAAGAAATGAGACCGTGGTGTTCAGTGTAAGTGATTGTGATGCTGAGGATTGTAGCTGAAGGGGAGTGTCTTTGTGTGTGTCATGATAAGGCAGAGGTTGGGCAAACCTTTTCCTAAGGTGTGAAGGTGCTTGCCTGAAAGCCGGATGAGACTGTGGCAGAGCCTACTGCTGCTGATCATTTGAAGTCAGCATTTTGATTCAGCTGGCTGCAGGACAGGGTTCAAAAGTAACTTTTTTTTGAAAGCAAAAGCAAATAGTTGGCTTGGTTACCTGGAGGGGAATCAATGAATAAGTAGTGTCAGAAATAAAAGATTGTTTTCCTTGTCCTGGGCCTGGAAAGGGATGAAGAGAAGTTTCTTTCTCTGAACAACCTCCTAGAAGAAACAACAGATTGTTTTTTCTTCTTTCTGCTGGGATAATTTTATCCCCTATAAAGCAGAGACAGAAACATGCATACTTATTTCCTTAGTGGCTTTGTTGAACTGGCAACTCACGCACCTTTTGGAGAAGCATTCCATGCAAATGTCACTCAGGTAAGTCTGTGCAAGTGGGTTTGTTCATTTTGTTCTAGGCCAGATAGAAAGATGCTGAAGTAATAAAATTACAAGATGGTCCAAGTCTACCTGTGATGCAAAATTGTTTTGTAGAACAACTTGATGAGACTTACCCAAGCAGTGGCAGAATTTAGGGAAATTCTAGTTTCAAGCTTGTTTGGGTTAGGAATCTAAATGTGTGTGGCATAAATTGTAACAAATCTGCTAATTAAGGGAGAGCTTTTGGAGGTGGAAGGAAAGTATAAAAACTCTGATCTACTGGTTTCCAGAAGTCTGAGAGATTATATTACATGCTAAGACTTAGTTTTGGTGGATGGGAGGTAAAAATAGAAGTAGATGATATCTAGTGGTGAGATTTCTGGGAGAATGCATGGAGCCAACAAGGAGCAGAGTCTTGGGCATTCTTAGTTGTGGTGTGGATTAGGATTTTTTTTCCAAATTGAATGATTGAATGTGCATGCAGAGAAAGGAGACAGAAGGTAGTCCTCATGCAAATTAACAGGAGTAGACACATACCTGGTTGTTGAGAAGGAACAGTAATTAAGGGAGAATGGTGATTATCAACTGATGCAGAGGTACAGGACAAATAGGATAACTTCAAGTTTATTTAAGAGGAAGAAGAAATTGCAAAAGTTTAAAATGAACTGAAGGAATTTGGGCAATGAGCATAAAAAGCTCACTGTGAGTGTAAAGAATATAGGAATATGGTATTTGCATGTAGTGCAAGATTTAAGGATTTTGTGAGATTTCTTTGAGTTGTGTGATTTTTATTTTTTTCCCCTAAGTTTTTCTCTGAGGGTTGGGGAATGATTTTTGAGGACATGGGTAAAGTCTCTTTTGTGTATCAATTTTTAACTGGTTGGTTTGGGATAAGGAAAAAACCTCTATTTCCAGTTGCAAGAACAGTTCCAATTTTTGCTCTGTGGAAGTTGACAAAATAGTTAAAATTATTTAGATATTTCTCCAATTAGACTGCTTGCTCACTGAAGGCTTTAAGGCACTAGCAAGAAGTTTTAGACAGTTCTCCCATGGCCCATCAGGTGAGGCTGATTTCATCTCTTGGAGGAAAGCTTTCTGAAATATGTAATGGAGTAAATATTTTGTGGGCATATCTGGATTATCTCTCTGTCACAGAGAATGAGCACAAGAATAGGTCAGGCATGTATGATATTTTCCATGGGTTGTCTTCCAAAATTTGAGCTATTTGTCAGCAGTAATTGTATGAGTTTAAGTGTTCTCTGTTTTGAAGCCCTCCATTCAGCCTCCATTAAATGCATGCTATGGATA